ATCATCAAAGGAAGTCAGGACAGGAACTCAAACAGGGCAGGAACCTGGAGGCAGGAGCTGATGCAGAAGTCACGGAGGGGAGCTACTTACTGGCTTGCTTCCCATGGCTCGCTCAGCCTGCGTTCCTATAGAACCCAGGACCACGCTGGGCGGTGGTGGCTCACGCCTTTAATCCCACCACTCTGGAAGCAGAGTCAGGTGGATCTCTGTGAGTTCGAGGCCAGCCTGGGCTACCAAGTGAGTTCCAGGAAAGGCGCAAAGCTACACAGAGACACCCTGTCTCGAAAAACCAAAAAAAAAAAAAGAACCCAGGACCATCAACCTGGGGATGGAACCACCCACCATGGGCTGGGCCCTCGCCCATCAATCACTAATTCAGAAAGTGTCTTACAGCCAGGTCTTATGGAGGTATTTTCTCAATTGAGGGTCCCTCCTTTTTGATGATTCTAGCTTTTGTAAAGTTGACATAAGATGGGCCAGCACAGTAGCTTTGTGTGGCACTTTTACCCAGTTTGAAAGCAACTGCTGTTGGATCTCCTAAGTCAGTCAGACTTAACTACAAGAGACTGCTTCCATCCTTCCACCCCAAAACCGAGGTCTCCCGGGTTCTCTGAGGGACCCTAGTGAAGAGGGAAAGAATCGGGAATCCTGCGCCCAGAGAAAGAAGACAGGGAATTGAACTCATGTTTGGAGGCCTCATATTAAATCTCTCCTTAGCCAGGGAAGGAAGGTGAGGGTGAGGGAGCCTCTGGGATGGCCAGAGGCGCTGGCTCCCTCCATGTCTGAGGGGAGTGCTTTTAGCTCTTTCTTTTAATCTAGGTTATTTTTCCCATCCCGGTTCATCTTGGGCGTGCACTTGGTATTCCCATTTATTTACTTACTTTTTAAGACAGGGTCTCTCTGTGTAGCCCTGGCTGTCCTGGAACTCACTCTGTAGACCAGGCTGGCCTTGAACTCAGAGATCTGCCTGTCTCTGCCTCCCGAGTGCTGGGATCAAATGCATGTGTCACCGGGCAGGCAACATATTTCCACCGTATTCTTCAGTGGCTGGCAGGAAGTCCTAGGACCTTCCTATCTGTGCCTCCCCAGTGCTGGACCACCAGCCTGAGTCACTGGTGTCCCCAGCTTCTCAAGTGGTCCCAGAGGTGTGTCACCACTGTTATAGGTTGTAACAGAACACTCTGTGCCATGCTAGGCCCACAGATGGGGGTGTACTTGGTATTTCTTTTATTTTCTTTCTTAATTTTATTTTAGATATACGGGTGTTTGCATGCATGTAGGTCTGTGTACCATTTATGTGCTTGGTGCCTAGGGAAACCATTGGATTCCTTGGAGCTAAAATTATAGATGGTTGTGAGCTGCCATGTGGTGGTAGGAATTGAACCTAGGTCCTCTGGAAGAGCAGCCAGCCAGTGCTCTTAACTACTGAGCCATCTATCCAGCCCCCACACTTGGTATTTCTAACTCAGATGGTAACTGTCTTCTCCTCACCCCCATGGCTGGGGTCTCAATTTGGTTGACTAGTATGAATTTGATTGGCTAATCTGAATTTGATTGGCTAGTCTGAATTTGATTGGCTAGTCTGAATTTGATTGGCTAGTCTGAAAAGAACTGGTACACAGGTAAGGAGGAAAAGGTTGCCACTCCTGGCCATCAACTTCCTGGAATAAGGCAGTGAATCTTTGTAAACAGAAGTTTTACTGAGCTGCAGGGTGAAATTGAAACATTTACATAAAAGTCTTGCAAGGTGGGGCAGGTAAAAAGATTTAAATTCCTTATCCTAAACACAAGTTGTATAGTATTTCTGCCTGTGGAGGTCAGAAGAAGGTGGCAGTGTGGATCCCACCAGTTGAGAAGAGACCACTACCACAATTTAAAGCCAACTTTGAAGCAAGCTTTAATTAAATACTGACCAGGTAGATGGGCTCTGGCCAGGTCCATCTCTGGTTTTCCAGAAAGTGGCTGTGAGTCAAACCTTGCAGAGACTTAAAAAGGCAACAAGGTCACCATTTCCCATCAGGGCAGGCATATATCCTGACGTATTTCCTGCCCACGTACCTCCCACCCACATGTGATCAAGCACATCGGGTGTGGCTTGTTATCTCCCATAAGCAGGAGCCTCCAGCCTTTTAGGAAACAATTTCCTTGGGCAAGGGGCTTAAGGGTTAGAGGTGTTAGGATTCCGGTCGCTCCTCCAGCTATATGGCTGCACATGTGCAGTTTAGAAGCCTTGGGTCTTCTGCAAAAGTAACAAGTGCTCTTAACTGATGCACCATCTCTCCAGCCCTGCACTTGTGGCTCTTGCAGGGGACCTGGGTTCGATTCCCAGCACCCACATGTCAGCTTAAAACCATCCGTAACTCCAGTTCCAGGGTATCTAATGACCTCTTCTGACCTCTATGGGCCCCAAACATGCAAGTAGTGCACAATCATGCATGTAAGCAAAACAACCATAAACAAACTGAAACAAATCTTTAAAAGGGAAGTTTTATACATTTATCTTTAGGGGTAGGTTGGGCAAAAGTGCCACAACACACACGTGGCAGTCAGAGTCTAATGTCAACTTGACACAAGCTAGAATTATCAGAAAGGAGATAACCTCAATTGAGAAAACATCTCCATAAGATCCAGCTGTAAGGCATTTTCTTAATTAGTGACTGATGGGGAAGGGCCCAGCCCATCGTGGGTGATTCCATTCCTGGGCTGGTGAACCTAGCTTCTAGAAGGAGGCTGAGCAAGCCATGAGGAGCAAGCCAGTGAGCAGCACCTCTCCGTGGCCTCTGTATCGGCTCCTGCCTCCAGGTTCCTGTCCTGTTTGAGTTCCTGTCCTGGATTCCTGCAATGATGGACTACCCTGTGGAAGTGGGAGCCAAGTAAACCCTCTCCTCAACTTGCTTTTCCTTCATGGTGTTTCATTTCAGCAATAGAAACTCTAAGACAAGAGGACGACTTGTAGGAATCTGACCTCCACTATGTGGGTTCCAGGAATCAAACTTGGGTCACCAGACGTGGTGGCAAATACCCACTGAGCTATCTTGTTAGCCCACAAAGTGAAACCTTCTAGAGCCAAGGTAGTGCTGTGGCCTGGCTAGAGATAGGCCCAGGCCTGATGAGGGCTGTCTGTGCCACAAACAACTGTTGACTTCGCAGTGAACTTAAGCAATACAGGCATGGGGCATCATAATGGGTTCCTTCACGTTATCACACTGGAAAAAGTACACATTTCTCCAGACTGGACATCAGATTTGGGGGACATGAACAGCCAGACCAGACCTGATTCAGTATTGCTTCAGAGGGGAGCCAGGAGCAGAGTCATCACTTGGAAACCGCCAAGGTCCAGGCGGTAGAGCACGTGCCTAGCATGCAGCTGGGCTGTAACCCCAGTACTGTGCCAAACGGCATGGTGGTACAGCCTATAACTGCACCATGTAGGAGGCAGGAAAGTCACCTGGCCAAAGTGGCGCATGCTTCTAATCCCAGCACTGGGGAGGCAGGGGCAGGTGGATCTCTGGGAGTTCAAGGCCAGTCTAGTTTACACAGAGTTCCAGGTCAGCTGGGGCTACAGAATAGGAAAACCCAAAACCCAAACCTAAAAATCCCAGACCATCAAACCACGGCAGCCATGACCATTTCTCCATGGGACACATCGCTAGTGGCGGAGAAGGTGCCCTAGGCTGGCTGTTCTTGGCCTCCTGCAGCGCAGAAGTCCCCCAGGGCTTCAGCACAGTTTTTGTCTATGACTCAACAGGCCCCTATCCTCCTTGGCCATCTGCACAGAGGGCGTCTCTTTTCACTACTGACCCCATCACCCTTCCTTGGTAAAACCTACTGGAAGAATAAAAAAGTTTAAATCTTCCTTAATTGGTTGAAGGAAATAGTTTTCACATTATTCAGTTAAAATTTTTTTTACACTGACTGTGTGAGTGTGCACACTCTCGTGTGTAAAGGTCAGAGATGACTTGAAGGGACTGATTGTCTCCTCCTTCCTCGGGGGTCCCAGGATCTAACTCAGGTCACCAGGCTTGGTGGCAAGAGACCTCACCAGAAGAGCCAGCCCGCCAGCCCGCTCCCCGGTTGTGTGATAACCACAAGGCAGCTTCTTCTGCGGCTACTTGAGGTAGAACCGAGGGAGCCTCTTACATCACCAGGAAGCGGAGACCAAGTCCAAGATCCTGTCCAATGTGATACTGTAACAGGAAATTTCAGGAACAGCCATAGCTAAGGGCAGACTGGCCCACCACCAGGCTGGGCAGGAGCTTAGGAAGAATCTTTGACAGGGTTAAAGGTCTTTCTTTTCTGAGACAGTCTCATAGAGCTCCAGGCTGGCCTCAAACCTCTAGATAGAAATCCAAGATGACCCTGACCCTCCTTACCTCTACTGGGACCACAGCCCTGGACCACATGCCTAGTGTGTGTGGTGCTGGGCCTTCAACCCAGGACCTGTGCGACACGTCAGGAAAACACTGGCAACTGAGCCCCAGTTCCAGACACTGCTGGATTAGTGTGTGTGTGTGTGTGTGTGTGTGTGTGTGTGTGTGTGTGTGTGTGTGTGGTTTTTCTTTTTCTTCCTTCCTTCCTTCCTTCCTTCCTTCCTTCCTTCCTTCCTTCCTTCCTTCCTTCCTTCCTTCCCTCCTTTCTTTTTTTTTTTTTGAGACACAGTCTGTCTCTCTTTGATTTTTCCAGGTAGAGTTTCTCTTTGTAGCCTTGGCTGTCCTGGAACTCACTCTCTAGACCAGGCTGGCCTTGAACTCAGAGATCACCCGCTTCTGCCTCCTAGTACTGGGATTAAAAGTGTATGCCACTCACACACTGCAGGTTGTTGAATCTTAAAAAGTTAATTTTAAGTCGGGCAGTGGTGGCTCACACCTTTAATCCCAGCACTCGGGAGGCAGAGCCAGGCAGATCTCGAGGCCAGCCTGGTCTACAGAGTGAGATCCAGGACAGGCTCCAAAACTACACAGAGAAACCCTGTCTCAAAACAAAACAACAACAACAACAAGTTAATTTTAGCTGTTTTGACAATTTAATGATAAAGCAACATAAAAAAATGACTCTCCCCTCCAAGTGTTCAGATGCCCTCACTTTGCTAAATAATTTATCCACTCCCTTTCATCCAGTTTATACAAAGACAGCTTCATCCCGATGCTCTAAGGACAGCCTGGCAGGGCTGCGTGTACACTGGAGCCTGAGCCAGGCTGGGAGGACACTGAGCTCAGTCAGGCTGCAGAGGCCTCTGGTTGTGGGACTGAAGGAGTGGACTCCACCCCTGATATAAAGTCAGGGACGTGCAACACAGACCATCTAGGCTTCGCGAGTGCCACCTGAATCATGAGATGTCAAATGGTGTTGAAGGGAGTTTGGTCGGTGGGTAGGAAGGACCTCCTATCTAGAGAGAACCAGGGACCCTAGGGGTTAAGTCCCAAGCTTTGTAGAGGCATGAATTCACTGGGGGGCTTGCTGCTCCCATGAATTACAAAATCACTGGGTGCCCACTGATGCCTTCTCCCTGAGCTTCCCCGCCACCCCAAAGTGTCCCCGGGCACTGGGGTCCACACAAGGGTCCTCAGGTGGAGAACCCAACTCCTGCCATCAGAAACTGCCCTCAAGTGTGCACCCTCTGAGGGCTGGTTTCTCCACTTCCTTCTCTACACAGGATGTAAGATGTGTAAAGCTCTTGCTTAAACCACCACCAGGCAGATGGGGACCTGGCGTGCAGCCTCGGTCCCCTGGCTCTGAGGTGACAGAGAGCTGCAGTGATAAAGGGGGGCAGTCCTAGGCCCCCATGTGATAGGGCCTAGATTGTTCCAACATTTAGTTCTGGATGAAAGATGGAGTGGCTTAACCCACATTGAGTGGTGTGGACTCAGGGGAAGCTTGGAAGGCACTTGGGAGAGTCCCTGATGTTATGGTGGCTCTAATTCTGTCCCTTGTACAACCAGAAAACAGGCTTTCGGGTAGATGCCAGGGAAGCAAGGGTAAAAACTGCAGACCTGCCCGTATCTTTGGCTAGCAGTCAGTTCACGAGCAGGTTCAAGGCCAAGCTGGTGGACCTGAGCTAGAGAGGCTGCCAGGGCTAAGTTGGACAGCAACCCACACCAGGTGACATCTTCAGCCAGCAATTGGACAGTAGAGCATATACCTGGGAAGCGGTTCTAAGGCAGAAGGCGTGGGGTGTCCCCTCCGCCACTCTCAGAAGGCGATGCTGTCTAAAGCCATCCCATCACAATGCCCTGGGGAGCAGTAGGCACCTTCGTGGGTATCCCACACCCTCAGACAATGCTGAGTGGAGCCTGGGGGTGTGGGCTCGAACCAGGACTGAGTACATCAACATGGAGAAAAAGGGAGATGGAGTTATGCGAGAAGAGGGGGAAGTGGACAGGAGGGAAGGGGTGCCCTGAGCTTAGAGACGGCCCCTGTGGCTCACACCTCGGCTGCAGTCCTTGAAGAGGCAGGAGGGGACAGGTGTGGGGAGGTCAAGGGTCACCCTTAACAGCCACAGCTGCTAGGCTGGGGGTGTGGAGTATCCCCAAGGGTTGGGGCTTTTCCGTTGCTGCCTGGGCTAGAGCTTGGTTCCAGGGACTCGCTCATCTTCTCACAGATGATGTCCACTAGGCGCTCAAACACCTGCTTCACATTGACATTCTCCTTGGCGCTGGCCTCAAAGAACTCAAAACCTGGATGGACAGAAGGTGGGGGCAGTTGTGACAGTCATGTGAGTCCCAAGGAGCTAAACTTAGAAAGTGGGATTGTTCTGAGCTCATTCCTGCCCGACCTGCTGTGTGTGTGTGTGTGTGTGCACATGTATGTTTGTGTGTGTGTGTGTGTGTGTGTGTGTGTGTGTGTGTGCACATGTATGTTTGGGTGTGTGTGTGTGTGTGTGTGTGTGTGTGCACATGTATGTTTGGGGGTGTGTGTGTGTGTGTGTGTGCACATGTATGTTTGGGTGTGTGTGTGTGTGTGTGTGTGTGTGTGCGCACATGTATGTTTGGGTGTGTGTGTGTGTGTGCGCACATGTATGTTTGGGTGTGTGTGTGTGTGTGTGCGCACATGTATGTGTGTGTGTGTGTGTGTGCACATGTATGTTTGGGTGTGTGTGTGTGTGTGTGTGCGCACATGTATGTTTGGGTGTGTGTGTGTGTGTGTGTGTGTGTGCACATGTATGTTTGGGTGTGTGTGTGTGTGTGTGTGTGCGCGCACATGTATGTTTGGGTGTGTGTGTGTGTGTGTGTGCATATATATATGTGTGTGTGTGTGTGTGCATATATATATATGTGTGTGTGTGCGCGCGCACATGTATGTTTGGGTGTGTGTGTGTGTGTGTGTATGCGCACATGTATGTTTGGGTGTGTGTGTGTGTGTGTGTGCGTGTGTGTGTGTGCGCGCGCACATGTATGTTTGTGTGTGTGTGTGTGTGTGTGTGTGTGTGTGTGTGTGCGCGCACATGTATGTTTGGGTGTGTTGTTCTTCAGCTGCCATCGCCACTTTCCTGAGTCAGGGTCTTTCAATGACTTAGAACTCATCAAGCAGGCTTGGCTGGCTAGCCCGTAAGTCCCTTGGGATGACAAGTGTGCACCTCCATGCCTGACTGAAGGTAGATTCTAGGGTCCTTCCCAGCCTCATGCAACCCTTTTGAAGTCCTGAGACAAATTTCACTATGTAGCTGGAGAGATGGCTCAGAGGTTAAGAGCACTGGCTGCTCTTCCAGAGGTCCTGAGTTCAATTCCCAGCAACCACATGGTGGCTCACAACCATCTGTAATGAGATCTAGCGCCCTCTTCTGGCGGTCAGGCAGAACACTGCATACATAATAAATAAATACATTAAAAAAAAAAAAAATCTCATTAGCCGTTGTGGTGGCGAACGCCGGTAGGATTTACTGAAGGAGGCGGAGGCAGGAGGATCATGAGTTCGAGGCCAGCCAATAAAAAAAAAAATTTCACTATGTAGCAATGCTGAAATAGTTCATAGAGCCTCTAACTCAGCAATCCTCCTGCCTCAGCAGTCAGACTGCAGTGATCACAGGCTGCACCACTATGCCTAACTAAGAGTCTTCGGGATGGCTCAGTGGTCAAGGTACTGGTTGCCAAGTCTGATGAGTTCAATCCCCAGAACATACAAGGCAAAGGACAGACTTCCACAGGTGTGTGTGAGCGGCATGTGTGTGCCTACACACAGACACTAAATAAATAATGGTGCTCTAGATGAGTTGGCCATTAAGAGCACTGGTTGTTCCTCCAGAGGACCTGGGTTCAATTCCCAGAACCCTCACAATAGCTCACAACTATCCATAACTCCAGTGCCAAGGGATTTGACGCCCTCTTCTGACCTCTGCAGGTACTTCAGCACACGATGCACTAACATGCAGGCAAAGCACCCATGCACATTTAAAGAGAAACTAGGCAGCGGTGGGGCACACCTTTAATCCCAGCACTCGGAGGCAGAGGCAGGTGGATCTCTGAGTTTGAGGCCAGCCTGGTCTACAGAACAAGTTCCGGGACAGCCAGAGCTACACAGAGAAACCCTGTCTCTAAACCTGCCACCCTCTAAAAGAAAATAAAAATAAAGCAGAGTAATGGGGACTACAGAGATGGCCCCGACGGAAAAGTGCTTGCCTTGCGAGAATGAGGACCTGGGCTCGGATTCCCAGCACTAATTTTTTAAAGCCCCATGAGGTAGAACATGCTAGTAATCCCAGTGCTGGGGAGGTGGAGGCACCGGAGCTTGCTGGCCAGCTGGCCTTGCCCACTGTGGAGTTTCAGACCAGTGAGAGACTCTGTCTCAGAGAAAGGGTGGATGTTCCCTAAGAACGACACCTGATGTCCTCTGGCCTCCATGGACACATACAAATGTCATCAAATTAGGACATAGTGCACACCCATAACCCTGGCACCAGAGAAGCCAACCTGGAAGGCCACTGATTTCAGAGCTGCACAGTTAGACCCTCTATCAAAAGAGTTTTAAAAAATGGAATGTGTAGCATGCATGAGGCCCTGGGTTTGAGCCCCAGCGCTGTTTTAAAGAGGAGAGAATCAGCGAGACAGTTCAGCCTCCGAAAGAACTTGCCATGCAAAGCCTGACCAGCCTGAGCTCAGTCCCTGCAAGACACAGTGGGACACAAAAACCTACTCCTCAAAGTTGTCCTCTGACCTCCACATGTACACTGTGGCACACACAGAAATAGTTTTTCAAGGGACATAACAAAGAAGTTTGTTTGTTTGTTTCTGTGTAGCTCTGGCTGTCCTGGAACTCGCTCTGTAGACCAGGCTGGCCTTGAACTCACAGAGATCCTCCTGTCTCTGCCTCCCAAGTGCTGGCATTAAACAGCACTTTAAAACAGCTGGGGCTCAATTACCACCACCTGGCAAGTAATTTTTTTTAATATGAGGGTTTTTGTTTTTGGGGTGTGTGTGTGCATATGTGTGTGTGTGTGTGTGTGTGCATATGTGTGTGTATGGTAGCTAGGTGTAATGGCACACACTTGTAATCCTAGGACTCAGAAGGCTGAGGCAGAAGAACTGCAGAAAGCTCAAAGCCAGCCTGGGCTGCCAAGTGAAGCCTCTCTCAACCCCCAACTCAGAAAGGACACAATGGGAAGCTGGAGCCGGGGGGGGGGGGGGGGGGGGGGGGGGGGGGGTGGGATGCTTAGCATGAGGAGACCCATCTGATTTCTAAAATTAAGTGTAATCCTGACTAGGTAAGTGTACGATTTCCACTTCATACTCCTCTCTGCTACTAAATGGACCAGCCCAAGGAGGGCTGATTCTTCCCGCAGCTTTTGGTCCCCTGATACAAAGCATATATGAGGACGACACTGGGCTATTTTTTGGTGCAGCGTTGGAAACCAGGGCAAGACAGGTACTCTACCACTGAGCTAAGCCCTCAGCCCCTCACTAGGGTATTCTAGGCGGGGGCTCTACCACTGAGCCATGCTCCAGCCCCTCACTGGGGGATTCTAGGCAGGGGCTTGACTGCTAAGCTACAGTCCAAGCCCTGAGTACATGCGTAGAAGCCACATACTGAGTAGCTCAATGGTGAAAATGGTGGACTGCATGACCTCAGCTCTTTGGAGTCTGGTGAAATCCCTGCTACTCTACTCTCTTCTTGGGCAAATCTGGTGTTTTATATCAATGTGTCAACTCGCCCCCCCAACCACCATCTGAATTCTTTATATTTTTTTCGTTTGTTTGGGCTCTTCTCTTTTTTTATTGTTTTGTCCTTTGGGTGTTTTGTTTTGTTTGAGACAGACTCTCACTACGTAGCCTTGCTAGATCTAGACCTTGCTATGCAGCCCAGGTCAGCCTTGAACCTCTGCCTTCTAAGTGTCTTTTCTTTGGTTCTAACAGGGTCTCATGGAACCCAGTGTGGCTTGGAACTCACTATACAGCTGAGGCTGACTTTGAACTTCTGATTCTCCTGCCTCTGCCTCCTGAGTGCTGGGATGAGAGGTATGTGCCACAATATGTTGATGTATGTGGTACTGGGGACAGAATCCAAGGGTCTCACGCACACTAGGTGCGCCCTCTACCAACTGAGCTACAACCCTAGAACAGCTGGGGATGTTTTATTAATTTATTTTAATTTTCACATTTTATTTTATGCATATGTACATGTACCTGATGGTGTGTGCGTATGTGGGTGTGTGTGTGTACACCCACATACACACACACATATATACATATATATGCAAATACATGTGCCATGTAGGTGCTGGGAATCAAACCTGGGTTCTTTCTGCAAGAACAGAAAGTATTCTTAACTGCGGAGCCATCTCTCTAGCCCTTGTTTATTTATTTAAGATAGGATCTCGTTATGTATCCCAGGCTGACCTTCACCTCACGGCAATGCTCCTGTTGTAAGCTCCTGTGTCCTGGGATTGAGGTGTGACCCACTGCACCTGGATCTTTACAGGCAAATGTGGGTTACAGAATCTTCCCCACAGAATGAAAACTCAATTCCTACAACAAATCAGTATTCTGAATGAAAAGGGAAGCCTGCAGTTCCAGCAGCTTGGGAGGTTAAGTTCATGAGTTCAAGCTCAGCCTGTGCTACATAGTGAGACTTTGCAAAGAACACTGAAAAATGTAAAACCTAGGTTGGTGGTGTTGCTCAGTGGTAGGTGCCTACTTAATGTGCAGACAGCCCTGGGTTCAGCTCCCAGCACCAAAAAGACAAAAAGCAAGCAAAAAACAGTGAGAGTCACTTCACTCAGGTTTCAGAATACATGAAAAAATAGGTAGTAGATGCTGGATGTGTTAGCGCACACTCTAATCTCAGCACTTGGGAGGCAGAGACAGATGGATCCGTGTGAGTCTGAGGCTGTCCCAGTCTACTGAGTTCCATAGCTGAGTCTAGTGCCAGCCAGGATTACACAGTGAAACCCTGTCTCAAAGCAACAACAAAATCTAGGTGGTGGGCTATGGTATCTTAACACTTGATATGGAAATTTTTTAAAAAGAGTGAAGAGTGGACACCAGGGCCAGTCAACTGGGTTCCCAGGACAGGGGGTGTATTCCCTGAAATGGGAGAACATGGCATATATATGGGTATGTTTATGGGTTATCTCATTGTAAGTGTGTGGTACACGTGTGCATCTGTGGGCAGCTGTGTGAGTGTCTCCTGGAGGCAGAGGAGGACACCAGGGGTCCTGCTTTCTCAAGCCCACCTTATTCCCTTGGGACAGTGTCTCTCACTGAACCTATAGCTAGCCAGGCAGCCAGCTAGCCCCAGTGATCCTTGTCTCAGCCCCACACAGTGCTGGGGTTACAGGCATGAAGGGGTGTGTGCATGTGCACATGTGTGGCCATGTCTGACCTTGTGTGCAGCTGCTGGTGACTCGAACTCAGAGCCTCACATTTGTGCAATAAGCATTCTTACCCACTTACCCACCAAGCCGTCTATCTCCGCAGCCCCAACACATGCGTATGTTCCTTTTCTCCCCACCAGATCCTCAACTAACCACTGTGGGCACTAACCAAGGTCATCAGCGAGCCTCCGGCCATCCTCAGCGGGTACGACGCGTTCGTCCTCCAGGTCACACTTGTTGCCCACGAGGATGACCTGGGCATTGTCCCAGGAGTAGGTCTTGATCTGTGTAGCCCTGTGGAGTTGTGGACATTGAGGGGGAGGTTAAAGGTGGGGGAGGGGAGAGCGAAGGCCTGTGGCACGCCGTGGTTGGCCGGCACTCACCAGTCCTGCACTGCGGTGAAGGATTCCTGGTTGGAGATGTCATACATGAGCAGGAAGCCCATGGCCCCACGGTAGTAGGCCGTGGTGATGGTCCGGTAGCGCTCCTGGCCTGCTGTGTCCTAGGCAAACAGCGGTCAGTCAGCCGGGGGCCACCTGCTCCCTACCTGACTCTGCAAGGCCCTGAAAGGGACACAGGTCTGCCCTTGTCCAATCTGGTGGGAGAAGAGTAGTGTTGCCTTCACAGGCCCAATCCGATGGGGAGGCATGGGTCTGCCCCACACGCAATCTAATTGGAGGAATACCAGTCTGCCCTCATGGCCCAGCCTGATGAGAGAGGCACGACTCTGCCCTCACTGCCCATCCTAGTGTGAGCCATTACAGGGATGTATCACCAGGCCCACCCTGGTGGCATCTTGAGAGCTCTGAGAACTGACTCAGCTCTGCCCTGGATGGGCTCCAGTGTGCAGGGCCGTATTCCATTTATGAGCGTCCCTAACCTTGTTTCCAAGAACCAGTGTAATAGTCACAAAGAAGAGCCATCTGGGCCTCAGGCCACCATCTTGATCTGCCGCCTGGTCTCCTTGTTACCATGATGATATCAACAGTTGGACTAGGGACAGGGTATAGCTCTGAACCTGGAAGCCTCTGTGGGAGTCCCCAAGATGGTCCCCAACTTCCTCCTCACTAGTCACTGGTACTTCCAACAGGCACCTTCTCTCCACCTTGTTCCTCCACAGGCCACCCAGAGCAGGGCACGTTCCCACATCCTGATGGATTTACCTCAGCCAAAAGACACCTCCCTGCCCTAAGCTACTCTCTGTCTCCGGGGAACTCTCCTCAGGGTCTGATTCTCTATTGGCTGCCCTTCCAATTCCCCGTATGGCTCCTCAACCCACCCAAATCTGCAGCTTGATCCTCTTATCGTGTCGATAGACTGTCTTGACCTTGAAGTCGATGCCCACTGTGCTCACGAAGGCAGGGGTGAAGGAATCATCTGCGTAGCGGAACAGGAAGGAGGTCTTGCCCACACTGCTATTCCCGATCAAGAGCAGTTTGAACATGTAGTCAAAGTTCTGGTCAGCTGCATCCCTCGGGCTGGCAGGGGACTCACTAGCGGATGCCATCGTGGTGGGATCTGCTTGGAGGGGAGGCCTGAAATCCTGATGGGAAAGAGTAGAATCCTGCAAGGGGGCAGGCACCAACCACTGAGCCTGTGAGTCTATTTGCTCTCCCAATGTGTGGATCCAGGATCCAACTCAGTCATCAGGCTGGGCAGCAAGTGCCTTCACCTGGAAAGCTGCCCCCTGGCCCTAGTTTATTCCTGTCTGTCTTCTAGAGACAAGGTCTCACTCGAGCCTAGTCTGGCCTTGAACTCCCAGCCCTCCTGCCTCTGCAGCCAAGTGTATGTGGAGTGACAGGCATGTACCTCCACCTTGGGGCTGCAGTCCCAGGCGCTCCTGGGCTGCCTGACCTGAGCTTTAGGTCCTCTGAAAGAGCAATACCTGCTTCTCAACAGCTGGGCCGCCTCTCCAGTCTTCTTTCTTTTCTTCTTTTTTAAAAAATCTTTTAGAAAAAGTCTTATGTAGCTCAGGCTGGCCTCAAACTCCCCATGTGGTGGATAATGACGTCAAACTTCTGACCCCTGCCTCTGGAACTGGGATTACAGGTGTAATGCCCTTCCTGATGACTCTTGTTAGTACTCATCAACAAACCTCTGCCCAGTCCTTCTCTGCACCAGGCACTGGTCTCTGAAGAGACACAGCCGTGCATGAAACAGAGAAACACTCACCTTTTATGGAAGACGCAGTGGGAGGGCTATGGCTGCTGTTTAATCTTTATATAAAGGTGAAACTGAGGGCTGGGGATGTGACTTAGTTGGGAGAGCGCCCACCTGAGGTTCCAGCCCAACACCCAGTAAACCAGGTGTGATTGCACACCTGTAATCCCACCACTAGGGAGGCAGAGACAGGAGGGTCTGCAGTTCAAGGTCATCCTGCGCTACACTGGGCGTTTGACACCACACTGAGCTACATGAGAACCTGTCTCAAAAAAAAAAAAAGGCAAAATGGAGCCTTTATGGTGGAAGGTTGATTGCCTGCCCTGAGGTGCAGAAGTCAGGTAACAGTAAAAACTCAGGGCCGGTGGTGGTGGTGGTGGTGGTGGTGGTGAGGAAGTTGCACGGGCTGTAGACTGGACTTTGCCCAGTGTAAGCAGCTGGTATGGCCAGGTGTGAGCTGGAGGGGGGGGGGGTGACTGCCAACTAGACAGAGCCCCCTCCATCAGGGCCTGGATGTTGACTTAGCTGGTGCCTGCCACTGGGTTGCCTGTTCTTTCCCCTTTAAGTCTGCTTTAACCCTTCCCTGTCCCCCAAGCTAAGTGGAATTTCTATAAATACAGCAATAGTTTAAAGCCCCAGTTAGGCTTCCAAGTGGGTACCTGCCATTTTATTTGTCAAAGGGGCCGGGTTTGGCTCCCTCTTGGCCAGAGCTGACTCACCCCAGCCATGGTCCACAGAGACAGGAATGAAAGTCATCAAATGCAAGGGAATTATCCTAGTCACTCAATGATCACAAAACCCACCACCACCACCCCATATCCTGCTCTTTATATCTGCCCACACTCCAGCATGCTGTCAAATCCGAATTTAGGGTGCCCTTCCAATCTCCCCGGGCTTCAGTTTCCCCAGCTGTCTAGAGTCGCTCTCCGAAGCCCAAGCAAAAGTATTTCTCAACGGCCTTCGGTGTTTTCTGTTTCTCTGCCCGGTGCATTTCCAAAGAGAACGCAGCCAACCCCACCCACCCTGTGTTCCGGGAGAACGGGTTTGAGGAGGGACCGCAAAGCGTCCGCCTGGCAGGGCCTTCAGGCTTGCCCCCGCCCCACCGCGGCTCCTCTTCCGGGCCGACTAGGGGTCCCCCGGTCCTCAAGGCTGGCATCCCAGCTGTCACTTTACTGCGTGCACCAGCAGGTGCCTCCCCCATCACCATATGGCGCCCTCGCTCGCCCCCGGCTGGGCTTCTCGCCCACCTCGCCGCCGCTCGCGGAGCCAGCGGGGCGCGGGGAACCTAGAAGAGCCAGCAGCACCGCTTGGGGCGCGTGACCCGGCCTCGTGCGGACCCCAGCCCAACCTGTCACAGCGCAGGCGCGAACCCGCGGGCGGACTGGCGCCCTCGCCCCGGGACTCACCTCGGGTCACGCCTCGCGCACCGGGATCCGCCCAGGAAGTCGCTGCAGCCCGCACACGGCCGCGACCCCCGCCCCGCAGCCACGGCCGCCAGCACCGACACCCGGATCCCGCGCCGGCTCCGCCCAGCTGGAGGGGGCGAGGCCGCGGCAGAAGTAGCAGCGATGCGTGGGTGGGGCTAGAGGGGGCGGGGCTGCCGTGAGAGTCGGCGTCTGGAGGTGGGCGTGGTCTTGAGGGCGGGGGATCCGCAAGAGGAGGAGCCCGGAGATGGGCGTGGCCTGCCGGGGACAGGGACCCTGCGAGGGTCCGAGCGGAGAGGGCGAAGCCTTGCGGGCGGAGGCGGGTGTGGCAGGTGTGGGGCGCCCGAAGAGGCGCTCAATGTGGGCGGGGAATTGAGGGGGTGGGCCTGGTAGTAGAGGGCCCACGGCGGGAGGCGGGACCGGAGCGGAGTGACGGACAAGGTAGAGAAGTGGGCGGGGCATAACGTGTAGGGGCTTTCCCCCGAAAGTTGAGCCTGGCCGAGCAAGAGCCAATCAGATGAGAGCACGCGGTGTGCTGGCCCCAGAGGCAGCCGGTGAGAGCTGGATGTGAGGGATCTGACAGCAGTCGGAACTTTGGAGCCCAGGGGAGAGGGAAAGGACATTAAGCCCCACCATAGCCTCTCCTAGAAGCATACATCTCCCTTTCCCTAACTACAAGTAGAAAATGTCTTCTATATACTCTGTGGTCAAGAGGAAAACCTCAGGAGCTGGGTTCTAGTCCCACCTCCACTTTCTAGGACTGTGACTCGGGACATATTTAACCTCTCCGAACCTCAGTTTCCCCATCTGCCAAGTGTGTAGCCATGTTTTTGTTTTTAATTTTTTTAATTTTGGAGGCTGGAGAGATGGCCCAACGGTTAAAAGCACTTGTTCTTGAAGAGCATCTGGGTTTGAGTCTCAGCACCCACATGGTGACTCACAACCATCCATAACTCCAGTTCCAGGGACTCTGACCTCCACCCTTCTTACTTTATCAAGCAGCAAGAACCAACGTGGACAGAAATACATATAGGCAAAATGCTCATGTAAAGTAAATTTTAAAATCTAAAAAAAAAAAGTTATTTTATTTATTTTTTCAGACAAGGTCTCGTTTAGTCCAGACTTGCCTGGAATCCATTCTGTAGCCAAGAATAAATAAATAAACTGATGCTCCTGCCTCCACCTCTCAGGTCTGGGACTGCAGGTGTGCAAAACCATGCCTAGTTTAGTTGGTGCTGAAAATGAGCCTGAGCCTTCTTGTATACTAAGGAAGCACTCTCCACCCCACCCCATTTTCTTTTCAATGCTGGGGTGAAGACCACATGGCCCTAAAGGGTGCTGGGTTACTCTATTCAATGCTCTTAAGGGCTCCTGGAGTTAAAACATGTTTTAAAAATATGGAAATTAGGGCTGGAGAGATGGCTCTGAGGTTAAGAACACTGATTGCTCTTCCAGAGGTCCTGAGTTCAATTCCCAGCAACCACATGGTGTCTCACAAATATCCATAATGAGATCTGGTGCCCTCTCCTGGTCTGAAGGCATACATGCAGACAGAACACTATGCATAATAAATCTTTAAAAAAAAAGGAAATTAAGGATCAAAGGAAGACAGATATTTGTCTGAGGCCAAATAGTATTATATATTCAAAATAATATAGAGAGGCCATCAAAATGGATGAGTGGGCAAAGGCACTTGCCATTAGGCCTGATGACCCGATCTCAGGGATCTACAGGATGGATTTGACCCAGGGATCCAGAGAACCTGTCTCAAAACAAAAATATAGACTGATGTAGTGGCTCACACCTGTAATCTTAGCACATAAGAGGCTGAGGCAGAAGGATTGTCATGAGTTTCAGGCCAACCTGGGCCACAGAGTTCCCTGGACACCCTGCCTCAAAACACACACACACACACACACACACACACACACACACACACACACACACACAAAGAGCAACTTGAACTTCTCTGCTTACCCAGACACCTAAAGGGAACAGCTGTCTCCAAAGCTCCAATATATATGGACTGAGCTGGAGTGTGCTATCTAGGAGGAACCGAGTTATTCTCAGAAACAAGCAGCCCCCAGAGTCTCCGGGATACCACTCATCTAGGTCCCCATCTCAGGATGGATGCTACGGACTAGGAAAGCTGAGCAAGCTCCATCCTGTCCTGCAAACACATGTCACTTCTGCTCACATCTCATCAGCCTAAACAAGTCACAGTGCCACTTCCAGTGTCAGCAGGATATGGAATACGATCGTGCTTGAGGTGGGGACCTACAGTAGCACACGGTAAGGGCAACGGTCAGCACCATGCCAGGCATACAGCAGTCACTCAGGAAATGGTCATCATTAGAGGAGGTATGCCAGAGCTGCGATAGCTCATGCTCCAAAGCATCACGCTACAGGAATGGGGAAACATGAAACTGAGTGCTCTCCCAGTGCATGTGCACACACACACACAAACACACTCATCACCTGGAAAAACAACCACAGCCATCTCCAAAGAAGCATTTATTGGCACACAGGGCCTGTGCTAGAGGCTCCGGAGCCCCAGAGCAAGGCCAGCAAGGCAGAGTCCGTTGCTCAGCAGGCAGCCCAGGTTACAGAGGGAAGACAAGCCATGGTAGTGGAAGAACTTCCGGCGAAGAGCGTCGTACTTGGGGTCCTTCTCCCGCAGCTGGCGGTAGGGGTCGGGGCCCTGGTGGCTGCCTGGCACCTCGGCCCCCAGGCCTCGATCTTTCTCCACAGTCTGCAGGGCCCACATGGCGGCCGTGGTGCGGGCCTCCAGCCAGCGTGCGTTGAGGGTGGCCAGTGTGAGGCTCATGAGCAGTAGAGCGAGCTGAGGACAGCGACGGGGAGGCAAGGTGAGGGGGGCTGAGAGGATGGAGGGGCCCAAGAGAGAGCATGCCGACATCCTCACAGCCCAGAGAGTGCCCTGCACCCAGACTGCGGACCCTGAAAGTAGCAGTCCTTAGGAAAGAATCTATGGCTTTTTCTCTTGCCCAGAGACATCTTGGACACCAAAACCTCTTCTTCAAAACAAGATGTGTTTTTTGCAGTACTGAGACTCGATCTTTGGGTCTCAGTCACATGTAAGTCCCACCCCTGAGCTACATGCCTCCCTTCACTTCTTTTGTGCCTATGTGGTATATGTACTTGTTCATGCACATGTGCTTGTAGAGGCGTGTGTGTGTGTGTTTCTGTGGAGGCCAAAGGTTGCCTTTGGGCTTTCCACCATTTTTTGGGTGGGGGTGGGGGTAGGGTTTCGAGACAGGGTTTCTCACCCTAGCTGTCCTGGCTGGACTCAAACTCACAGAGATCCACCTGCCTCTGCCTCCCAAGTGTTGGGATTAAAGGTGCATGCCACCACCACCTGGCCCTTTTTCTTTTAAAATTTTTTTTTTATTGCATTTACTTGGTGTGTGTGTGTGTGTGTGTGTGTAGTAACATGCCTTTGTGTGTGTATGTGCAGCCTGGAATACAACACGAGGGAGTCATTTCTCTTCTTCCTCCATGTAGACCCTCAGGGATCCAACTCAGATTGTCATCAGGCTTGGCAAGCAAGGGCCTTTGCTTGCTAAACCGTCCACCTTGGTTTCTGAGATGGTGTCTCTCCTTGACCCTGGAACTCCCTCATTCAGCTGGACTGACTGGTGGGCCAGTGAGCTTCAGGGATCTGCCTGCCTCCACCCTTGACTCCACCCCCTCCCCATGTTGGGTAACTCCTCTGTGTTTGCTGTTTGAATGGATGCTGAGGATTCAAACTCAGGTCCTCAGGTTTGTGCACAAGCACTTTTCTGCCCAAGTCATCCCCCAGCCTCCACTCTTTTCACTTTGAGGCAAGGTCTCACTAAGTTGCCTGGGCTGGAGTGGAACTCACTATGTAGCCAAGGCTAGCCTTGAATTGCAATCCTTCAGGCTAAGCCTCCCAAAGAGCTGGGATGATAGGATGCCCATCTGCTCTTCCCAAAAGGAAGACAGATAACACTTATCATTCCCTCATTCTCTCTTCTTACAGCCTAAAACAGGGCCCATCTCAGACCCCAGAAACTGACACTGAATGAACAGGAACTCAATTAATCACCTGGGAAATACCAGTTACCCAGAACCCTCTCTGAGCCCTAAGACTATTCTTTGGTGGGGAGCGGGTTGAGACAGGATCTCTGTAGCTCAGGCTGGTCTCAGGCTCCCTGTGTGGCTGACACTGGCCTTGATCTCCTGATCCTCCCACCTCTGCCCCCAAGAGCTGGGATTACAGGTGTCACCACATGTCAGCCTTGGCTTTTTAATTTAATTTTTTATATTAGTTATTTTGGTGTTTTGAGACAGGGTTTCTCTGTGTAGCCCTGGCTGTCCTGGAACTGGATCTGTAGACCAGGCTGGCCTTGAACTCACAGAGATCTGCCTGTCTCTGCCTCCTGGGTGCTGGTATAAAAGGCATGTGCCACCGCGACCTGGCCTAATTTTGATTAATTTTTTTTGAGACAGGGTCTCTCTCTGTAGTTCTGGCTGTCCTCGAACTCCTGCCTCTGCCTCCAGAATGCCGAGAGTAAAGGCGTACACCACTACACCTGGCTTGTTTGCTGTTTCTGAAACGGAGTCTTACTATGTAGCCCAGGCTGGTCTGGAACATCTTCCTACATCCTGGGGTGGTGTGTGTGTGTGTGTGTGTGTGTGTGTGTGTGTGTGTGTGTGTATGTATGTGGGGCGTGTGCACCACCACACCAGGCTGAGAGGTGACACACCCATCAAGTCTCACCCGCCCACATCTGAAACTTCAAGAGCAGAGGGAGGGAAGGGTGAGGAAACCTGAGCTGTAAGAATTGTTCCTTACCCTGTGGCTGAGGGAAAGTGTACACGGGAGTGGGGAAACCTAAATTCCCAGTCCGGCTAGTTTTCACACAATGAACTGAGGTCAGAACCTCGGCTCAGCTGAGTCACTGCAGTTTGGCAGGAGGCCCAGCTATTGGGCACAGAGGAAATGAGAGCCAATGGGAAAGATAAGGTTGGACATAGAGGGCTGCCTGGGGTGGCCATGCAGGATGTGTGCACTGTTCAAGGACACCCAGTGACCAGTGACCAGGAATAAGAGGCATTTCTTTTCCCCTTTCAAAACAATGTCACTTGAGCTGGTGGCACACACCAGAAGGATATCCTGAAAAGTGGAAGCAGGAGATCCACAAGTTTGAGGTCAGCCTGGGCTACACCTCTGAGGAATGTAGAAATGGCTAGCTCAGCAGTTAAGAGAGCACACTGCTTTTGCAGAGGACCGAGTCTGGTTGCCAGCACCCACTCTGAGCAGCTCACAGCTGCCTGTAACAATAGTTCTAGGGGGATTTGTCACCGCTAGCCTCTGAGGGTACCCACACATATATGCACATACCTACACACAGACAATAAACACATAAATGAAAATAATCAAAGCTCGGTGCACACCTCTGATCCCAGCACTGGAGAGGCAGAGACTAGCCTGGTCTACAGAGTGAGTTCCAGGACAGACAGGGCTACAGAGATTAAACCCTGTCTCAAAATACCAAAAAGAAAATAATAAAAATAAATCTTTAAAATTTTTTTTTCACCGGAGGGTTGGTGATGTGGCTGAGTTGGTAGGGTTCCTATCTGGCATACACAAAGCCTTGGGTTCAATTCCCAACACTTCATAAAATGATGGGTGGGAGAACATGCCTGCGATTTCAGGAGGCAGGAGGACCAGAAGTTCAAACTCATCTTCCACATACTGAGTTCAAGACCCTGTCTCGGAATAATAACAACACCACTACCCATGTAGGTCAAGAAGATGTACCTGTAGAGTGCATGCCTAGCTAGTGCAGGCTCTGGGTTTTATCCCCAGCACTATGAAAATAACATCAAATGAGGAGCTGGGAAGATGTGGTCAGTAAGGTGTTTGCAATGCAAGCACGAGGACCTGAGTCCAGTCCCCCAGCACCCTGTTACAGAGGCTGGCATGGCGGCTCATGCCTGAAATCTCAGTGCTGGGGAGATGGAGATAGAAGGATCCCTGGAGATTGTCAGTCAGCTTGTCTGACCAAATCAGTGAGCCTCGGGTTCAATGAGAGACCCTGTCTCAAAAAAAATAAATAAGCCAAGTGGGTTGGGGCACACCTTTAATCCAGCTCTTGGGAGGCAGGTAGGCTGCTCTCTGTGAGTTCGAGGCCAGCCTGGTCTACAGAGTGAGTTCCAGGACAGCCAGGGCTACACAGAGAAACCTTGTCTCAAAAGAACAAAAATAAGGTAGAGAGTTGGAGAGGACGATACAACATCAAACCCTGGTCTCTACACGTGACTGTGCACATGAATGTGTACACACACACACACACACACACACACACACACACACACACACATTAAAATAAAACCAAGTCTCTATAAATGCTCACTGGAGTCTTGGGGACAAATCTGCAGAGAATGATGGCCCTCAAACCCTCATACCTGACTGGCCTCCCAGAGTGAGAGGTGGCTCCAGGCTCGCTGCGGAGCCAAGATGCAGAGGTTGATGAGGGCACAGCCCAAGGAGATGTGAAAGTAGACGGGGAAGAGCTTGCTCTGCACTAGACCGAAGGTATGCCGAGGAAGACTCCGGAAAAGCAGGAAGCCTGGGAGGTGGAGGGCCACAAACACCTATTAGGACACTTCCAGGTTCCCCTCCCATTCAGTCCCCACCCTAAATAACAGGTTGGAGGTCCCTACCTGAGGCAAAGGTCACCCACATCTGCATGCCCCAGGCACCAGACAAGACCAGCAAGTGGACCACCTTAATCAGGCTTCCTGGATCCTCACCTTCCCCCATCCTGTGGCCCTGGGAAGGAGGCACCAGTGATTCAGCTTAACCTTCAACCTTTGCCCCCTAGCTTTGAGACCTGGCAGAGAATGCTTAGGGCCAGCCCTACACGGGTGCAGAGATGAGGGAAAAGTCTGGAAACGGCAGTGGGAAGACCCAAAGCAGTCCCTGGACAGCCTCTTGCCCAACCAGTCCATCTGAGCTTAGGCTCGGGGCTGGAATTGTGGCTTTGAGCTCAGAGACTTGGTTAGTGTTGGCCTCACAGTCCCTTCCCAACACTTGCAAAGTAATAGCAATAAGTAATAATAATAATAATAAATAAAACAATCTCAGTCCAGTGTGGAAGCTCACACTTGGGAGAATGACACGGGGATTGCCACTCCTCCATTCCAAAAAGCATTTAAAAACAGAGACTGGCCTGGTGACTCACCCTTGTAATCCCAACATTGGATGATGCAGGAAAATCACTGAAAATCACAGCCTAAGATATAGCGAGACTGTCTTAAAACAAACAAATAACAAACAGTTCAGGCTCCAGCCGGGGAAGTGGCTCAGCTGGCAGAGTGCTCGCCTCACGTGCAGGAAGCCCTGCGTCCCATCTCCAGCTCAGTATAAGACAAGCACTGGCTCTTTTCTGTCATTCCAGCAGTGAGGAGGTACAGACAGGAGGATCAGGAGCTGGACACCAATCTGAGATACATGAGGCCTTGTCTCAAAAACAAACAAACAAAATTCTAGAACAAAAGATCTCAGGCTTTTTCTAGACCCCAATATCAACTGCACCTTATAGAACCCCCAAAAGCCAGAATCCCAGCAGCTCAAGTTCGCATCCCTAGGTCTTCAGGGATCACCCTGGCTCTGCAGAAAACCAAGAGCCCTCATCCAGAAACCCGAAATAACCTAGAAACATCCCAAAGCACCCCCAGGGCCCCCATATGATCCCACCGTGGAGCACCCGAGGTCAGGCGTGCACGAACCGGGGCAGCTCCTATGCAGCTCCGGCTCGCCTGAGACCTCCCGGGTTTTCTTCCGCACCGCAGGCCTCGCCCCACCTCCCAGCCAGCCAGAAGCCAATAAGATCACATACCTGACAACTCTGGGCCCGCCCACTTAGCGATTGCCCAGTCAGCTCGCGGGAATCATCCTGCCGTCCCGCCTCTCCGAACTTCATCCAGTCACACCGAAGATACTCAGGCCCCAGTGAGCTCCGCGCCGGACCCGGACTGAGCGGGCGGGGCTTAAGTGCAGACCACGCCCTTCTCTGTGACTCCACCTTCGGCCTTCGGGCGTTTTCCAGCGAAGGTGTCCCCAAAGGATCAAAACTTCAGCGTCACAGCTGGGACTGGCTTCGTGGTCCCTGATGGGAGAGCATGAACAGGTGGTATGTGGTAGGTGGGGATGGCAAAGGGGATTGGGGGACTGTCGGGGTGCAAGGGCGGGGCCAGTATCAGTGATCACGCCCCTTCGCTCGAAGAAGTCTCTGGATTTATTGAGGTGGGAGAGGCAGGCATGGTTGGGCATCTACCTGCTGTGGAGCTCTGAAATGCCTCTTTCCTTTCCCCCTCTAACTCTTCTAGGGCATCTGTGGTCCTCAGGTGATATTCTAGTACAAATTCTCGTTTACCAAGCAGTGGACTAAATCTGTGTCATCAGGACAGCCCAGTAAAGTGGATATGATTTTTTTTTTTTCCAGACAGGGTCTCATTGTGTAGCCCTGGCTGGCTTGGAACTAGCTTTGTAGACCAGGCTGGCCTGGAACTCGAGGATCCCCCTGAGAGTTGAGATTAAAAGGGTGAACCACCACATCCGGCCCTTTATTTATGTGGTTATGTTGTTGCTGTTTCAGATTTTTAAATTGTTTTATGTGTGTTAGTGTTTTGCTTGCATGTATGTCTGTGCACTGCTTTCGTGCCTAGTTCCTACGGAGGGTAGAAGAGAGCATCATATCCTCTGGGACTAGAGTCACAGAAGGTTGTGAGTCACCATGTGGGTGCTGGGATTTGAACCTGGGTCCTGGAAGAGCAGCTGTGCTCTTAACTGCTAAACCAATTCTCAAGCCTTTTTTTTTTTTTTTTTTTTTTTTTTGGACAGGGTCTCTCTAGGTAGCTCTGACAGGCCTAGAACTCACTATGTAGATCACACTGGCCTCGAACTCACACAGATCTGCCTGCCTCTGCTTCCTGAGTGCTGGGATTAAAAGTGTGTGACTACTTTCTTTCTTTTAAATTAATTAATTTTTTTTTCCAACCAGATCACAGTTTCCCCTCCCTCCCTCCTCTCTTCCAATCCCTCATGCCCCCCCCACCTCCCCTACTTTCTTTCTCTTTTTCTTTTTTTTTTCCTTTTATTTATTTTTTATCCTGGCATGATCGGACTCCAGACAACCTGGGAATTGAACCCAGGTCCTCTGGAACATCAGTCAGTGCTCTTAACCACTGAGCCATCTCTCTTCTTTTGTTTCTTTCTTAATATAAAACTTTGTTTCTTATTCTTAGGTGTGCATGATGTGTGTGTGAGTGTGCACATGTCATGGCATACATGTAGAGGTCAGAGGTCAAGCTTACGGCGTTGGTTCTCTCCTTCCACTATTCAGTTGGTTACTGGGGATCCAGTTTTGCAGGCAAGCACTTTACTCGTGGGTTCTCTGACCAGCCCTTCAAGGGCTGTCTTAATGTCTTTGTGTGGGATGTCTGGGTTCTCATACCCCAACCCCACCTCTGTGATTGACCTTTCATCTGACTTGCACTTCTGTCAACACTGAGACATTTCTGGGCTGAAACATCTCTGAGGGGAGACTCTAAAGGGGTTAGGAGGCCGGGGGTTGAGGCTCAGTTGGTAGAGCACTTGCCTAACATGCTGGGTTCCATCCCCAGCACTGTATAAACTGAATGTAGTGACACACACCTGTCATCCTAGAGCTAGGGAGGTAGAAGCTCGAGGGTCAGCAGTTCAAGGTCATCTTTGGCTACATAATGAGTTGGAGGCCAGGCTGGGCTACACAATACTCTGTCTCAAAAGACAACAGTAAATTACTAAAAATGAAAGGATTAGCAGTCAGAGACTGGTCTCAGAGCCCCTCCATCCCCCTCTCTGCAGCGACCCTCTTTTGGCTGGCCTGCCCCGGGACCCTGACTACTGTGTGTCTCATCTCCGCTCACCTCCTTCACTCTCCACCACATCTTGGCCTGCCGACCAGAAGAGGGGCAAGTACTGGAGTTCCTGGAGGGCCTGGTAGACAGCTGGAGGGCCGGAAGGGGCTGACAATTGCAAGCTTGCTATCACTTGTTCCTGAAGGAAACCCCTTTCCCCCAGGGTCCTCCTCGGACAGGGCTTTGGACTGTATGACTCGCTGGTCCAGGACCTTGGAGCCTGAGATCGTCAACGCTACTTCAGAACAAACACCGAGGATTGTGGATTGGGAGCCGGAGTGGGACTCAGCACCTCAGCCTCATGAGGCTACTTCCTATTCCAACTTAGACCTGCACAAGGAACATTGTCATGACCAGGAGCTTGTGAAGAGGAACCACAGCCCAACCAAGGTCACACACTCCCCCAACCCTCCTTCACCTAGGAATGTACTTGCAGTGTACCACTGTGGGGCATAGGAAGGGACTGCAGAGCAGGGACCTGCAGGGGTTGCAGCACCTAGAACAGCACCTCTAGAGGGAAGAAGGAAGGAATAGAAGAAAACCTGTTTGTGTGTCTTTGCTTGTTTCCAGAGTGTCTCTTGTAGGCCAAGCTGGCCCTGAACTTGCTCTGTAGCCAAAGCTGGATTTGAACTCCTGTTTCTTCTGCATCCATCTCCCGAATGCTAGGATTATAGGAAGGAGACATTATGTCTGACTTTCATATTTTGAAGGGGTGTGTGTGTGCTTGGTGTTTGTTTTTGTATCTATATGGTTTCTGATTGTGTGTGTGTGTGTGTGTGTGACTCATACTTGTGTCTAAAATTGTGTGCCTGTAGCTGATTGTGTTCAACAACGGTTTGTGGTGGTGTGTCACGCGCTGATGGTGTCCGCTATGGACACTGCTGTGAGTGATGTCTTGTACTCCTCAGGAGAAAGGTCAAACCAGGGACAATCCAGGGGCCCATAAACATGTGAGATGAGACACACAAGTGCACTTCTGAGCATGTGCAGATGATGAACTTGGGGGTAGGGGCAGTGGATGAATGCCCTTGGACACAGTTTTGCCTGAATTCCTGGTTAGGGATAACCAGAACTCAAGAGAACCACCCTTATCCTTCCCTCCAAACTGCATCAAGGTAAGCAGTCTGGGAATACATCACCATTCTCCTCTTCTTTTTCCCAGAAGTCCCCGGAGCCTGGTTCTTCTAAAATAAAAGGTGAACGCCCTCTCCTAGTGAGATTGGAGGGAGGCATTTGGGTTTCTAGCCCCACTTAATTTTTCCTTTACTTTGATTTATTTACTTCCTGTATTTGAGGATGTGTGTGCCAGTACGTGTGTGCCATGGCACACATTTGAAGGTCAGAGGACAACTTACCAGAGTTGGTTCTCTCCTACCCTGTGGGTCCCTGGGTTCAAACTCAGGTCATCTGTCTGAGTGGCAAGTCCCTTTACCCACAGAGCCATCTTGCAGGCCCCCTACGTCCACTTTCTTCTCCAGTATCAAGGCCCATGTTCATTAAATGCTTCAAGGGGGCCCCCTGCTCTCTACATGCCCCTGTCTCTCCTCTGATCTACCCACCCATCTCTGCCCTGATCTTACCTCAGCCATGGCTCCCCCTTGCCTCTGCCCACAGTTAAAAACGCCATGCTAATCCCTGATGCTCAGAAGCTCTTACGATGTGAACTAGAGTCTCTCAGGACCCAGTTGCAGGCTCAGACCAAGGTGAGCCCCCTCCCCCTCCTCTGTACCCCTGTTCTCATCATGTCCCTACTCTAGAGCCTCACCTGGCCCCCACGCCCTCAGGCTTTTGAGTTCCTGAACCACTCTGTGACCATGCTGGAGAAGGAGAGCTGCCTACAGCAGATCAAAATCCAGCAGCTTGAAGGTAAGGACTAGACGGAGACCAAGGTCTGAATAAGTTGGAAGTGAGTAAAAGTTCATTCCAAGTCAAGGTCAGAACAGGGTCAGGGAAAGCTGGAGTCAAGGCTGGTCCCCAAGCCCACATCTGGTTCCCACCGTTTGGGGCTGGGCTGGGCCTCAGTTGGTAGAGCACTTGCCTAGCATGCATGAAGTCCTGGGTTCCACCTCCAGCATGGAATACAACTGGACCTGGTGGTGCATGCCTTTAATCCCAGCACACGGAGGCAGAGCCAGGCGGATCTCTGTGAGTCCAAGGCCAGCCTGGTCTACAGAACGAGATCCAGGACAGGCACCAAAACTACACAGAGACCCTGTCTTGAAAAACCAAAAAAAAAAAAAAAAAAAAAAAAAAAAATTAAAAAATAAAAATAAAAAAGCACTGGCTGCTTTTGCAGAAGACCCAGGTTGTGTTCCCAGCATCCACATGGTGGCTCACAATCCTCTGTAACGTCAGTTCCAAGGGATAGGACACACTCTTCTGGCCTCCATGGGAACCAGGTAAAACACCTATGAAACATAAACCACATAAAATAGAAATAAATAATCTTAAAAAATACAGGGCTGGGGAGATGGCTGTTACTAAAATGCTTGTCATGCAGGCATGAGGACCTGAGTTCATCTCCAGAAATCAGGCTAAAAAAAACCCCTGGGCTTTGTGGCATACACTTGTAATCCCAGTTCTGCAGAGGTGGAGCTAGGAGGAGCCCTGGGGCTCCCTGGCCAGCAGATCTACCCCAATCTTCGAGCTTCAGGTTCAGTGAGAGACCCTGTCTCAAAAGATAAGGTGGAGAAGAATTGAGAACACCCAGTATGACCTTGGACCTCCCTTCGCCCACACACATCCACGTGTCTGCATACCTGAGCACACACCTGTGCACACACGTGAACG